TAAGTAAGAACCTAATTAATCATCTCTGGGTTAGGCTGGGGTGGTAATTCCTCATCTTGAACCTGCTCGTTTTCCCCTTCTTCACCCTTTCTCACTACCTCATCAGTCGGTGGAGGAGTCACTGCCCTATTACTAGCTGGACCAGGTGTATGTCCTCTACCTCTAGTGGGCGTCCTCCTGCGACCTCTACCACGGCCTCTTGCCACTGTTCATCCTCGAGTTACAGCCCCAATGGTTGGCTCAGATGCACCTTGTCTTGCTGGTGTTGGTATTGGCATAGTTGTTGCTCTAGTTCTTACTATCTGCGAAATAGAGTGAGGATGTCAGATACCAATTTGTGTCACCTAGATACCAATTGGATCCAAGTAATAGCACGAAAGAAAGAAAGAATGGAGTTTTCCTAAAGTCCTATAGCCTCTCAAAGAAAAGTAAGGGCGTCCCCCTACTGTTCCTTAAGACTCTACTAGACTCGTTCTTGTGTGATGAGACCAACGAACCTAACGGTCTGATACCAAGTTTGTCATGACTCAAAACGAGCTGCGAGTGGCACCCACACTTATCCTCCTTGGTGAGAAAACCAACAAATCTAAACCCCAACATTTACCGGTATATCAATTGTGAATAGTAAAAATAATGCGGAAGATCCAAAAATTAATAAACGAAATCAATTAAATAACATCTAAAGTTTAATACTTATTATTCCCAAAATTTGGAAGTCATCACATCAAGAACATCTATTCTCAAATTTCTAAGTCTAAGAGTATTTAAGAAGCTAAAATAAGTAAAAAGATGGTCCATGTCTGAACTTCAAGGACATCAAGACGTGAATGAGAGAATCCAGTCCGAGCTAGGAATAATAGCTCACCCTGAAATCTGATATGCTGGAGACTGGCTAGAGTTGAGGGCGAGTCGAAGTCGATGGCACGCCTACTGCACTCCACAAATAACAAAGAAGAAAATTTCAAGTAGGGGTCAGTACAAGGAGCACGTACTGAGTAGGTATCATCGACCAACTCAAAATAGAAAGCAATATATACTGAATAATAATATAAAATCGACCACAATACTTAAAAGGTGACAATCAACAAGTACAAGAACCATTGGCAATAACCCCAAGCACACCTATGAGGACTCAAGCCTCCACACTATACTCATTTGGGAAATAGGTTCTTCAAATTTGAGTATATTAACATAATTCAAGATTACTTCTGTTCATTATTATCGTGTTAGAACGTGACACTCCGACCCCATATACCGTGTCGGAACGTGACACTCCGATCCCATATTACTACCGTGTCGGAATGTGACACTCCGATCCAATATTACCACCGTGTCAGAACGTGACATATCAATCCAATATTACTACCGTGTCGGAACGTGACACTCCGATCCATTTGTCTCATTATTTTATTTCATCAAGTCTTCCTTACATCAAGGCGTTGTCTTAATAGAGAGGATTTAAGATTTCAACAGTCTCATCATTCAATCCTACCACAATTACACAATCAAAAACATACAAACACTCAATCAAGCACATAGAAGACTTTAAAATACCACCCAATACATATCAATCGCTATTTAGAGTTTATCTATCACATAGAAATAAACCATAACCTACCTCCACCGAATAATCGTGATCAAGCAAGCTACTTCCCCAATGCCTTTGTTGTCCTCTTCGTTCTCTCTCTCTCGCTCGTTTGTTCCCCTCTGTTCTTTTTATTTTTCCTCCCCAAATTCTTTTTCTTTTACCCTAATTATCATATAATCCGTTATGATAAAAGTAACCCACTATTTTTTCTCTATTATCTTCTTTAACCCCAAGTAATAAATTATTAAACTTACCCCACTAATTTCATAATAATAATCATGAATAGTCAAAAACACCCCTTTAAAACTTTTAGCGGAAGTCTGACCAAGTCGGGGTTACGCAACTTGTGATGGTCCATCTTATCTATGAAGGTCCGTCACAAAGTTCAGAGAGTTAAATTCAGTAATGAGGTTTGTGACGGTCCGTCGTATCTACGACGGTCCGTGCTGCAGTTCCGTCGTGAAGTTCAGAGAGTTGATCCCAGTACCCAGATTTCAGAGTTGAAGTGTTTTGGAACGAAGACCCTCGACGGACCGTCGTGCCTATGACTGTTCGTCCTACCTGTCGTCGAGGGTACTGAGGAGAGCAATAGAAGAAATTACACAAGTATGGGATGACGCAGTCCATCACGGTCAGTCGTGACCATGACGGTCCATCGCGTGATCCGTCGACCCAATTAGATTTTATCAAAAATAATTCTACTGCTCGAACCAACTAAACAGGTTGTTACAGGTATATGCTATTACTTTACAAGGTAGCATGAGGAAACAACCAAACCTACTCGACAAGCGTCATAATTTACAACAAACCCTTTGGTACCCTCCAATAATGTCAACACTGGAGCGGAGGTAAGCTTTTCTTTCAAATTGTTGAAGCCTTTCTCACAAGCTTCTGACCACCCAAACTTAATTTTATTTTGGGTTAGGGTTTTCAAGGGAGAATCAATGGATGCAAACCCGTCTATAAATACCCTATAATACCTGTCTTAACCCAAGAATCATCAAATTTCGGTGGGAGTTAAAGGTCTAGGCCGATTCTTAACCACCTCTATATTCTTAGGACCGACCTCTATACCCTCACTTGAAACAACGTGACCACGAAAAACAACCGATCTCAACAAAAATACACACTTACAATATTAAGCAAAGAGTTGATGTTCCTTGAGGACTTCCAATACTACCCTCAAAATACCCATGTGTTCATCCTCACTCTTGGAATATACCATGATATCATCAATAAAGAAGATTATAAATGAATCAAGATAATTCTGATACACATTATTCATAAGGTCTCTAATAGTCATTCGGGCATTAGTTAGACCCAAAAACATGACTAAGAAATCGTAATGCCCATATCTTTCTTGGGGATGTTTTTTGATATCAACACTTCTCACTCTAAGTTGATGATAACCCTACCTCAAGTTAGTTTTTTAAAAATAACTCACACCTTAGAGTTGATCAAACAAATCATCAATTCTAGGGAGAGGATAATTATTCTTTATAGTGACCTTGTTCAATTGTCCATAGTCAATACACATACTGAGAGACCCATCATTCTTTTTCATAAATAATATTGGAGAACCCCATAGAGATATGCTTGGTTGTATAAAACCCTTGTCTAGCAAATCCTTGAGTTAATCTTTCAATTCTTTTAACCAAGCCGGAGCCATCCGATAAGTATGAATTGATATTAGTTGAGTATTTGGAATCAAATCTATGCTGTAATCTATTTCTCATTCGGGAGGAATTTTGGGATATCATTGGGGAAGACTCCCAATAATTCCTTTACTACGGGGACCAACTCTAAAGGAGGAGCCTCAGAATCAAGGTTCTTTTACCCTCACAACATGGTAGATACATCCCTTAGAAATATCTTACAAGATTTTATACATGAAATAATTTAACCTTTAGGGATTGAGTTTCCCCCCTTCCATTCTAAAACAGGTTCATTAGGAAATTGGAATTTAACTACCCTTGTTCTACAATCAATTGAAGCAAATCAAGCATGTAACGAATCAATCTCTAATATGACAAGTCCAACATATCAAGTTCTACTAGATCAGCCAATGTAACTATATTGGACAATAATTTGGGAAAACTTGCATAAATGTTTTTCCGTAAAAGCAGAGTCACCCACCAGGGTGCTGACCGTAAAAGGTTCAACTAAGACATCGGGGAGCAAGTTAAACTTCATAGCCACTAAAGGAATTACAAAAGACAAATGTCATCGAGATCTAGAAATGTATAAACATTAATTGAAAATACTTTCAACATATTGGGTTAAAACAACGGGAGAATCCTCTTGATCACCCCTAGATTTGAGAGTATAGAAGAGATTCTTCTTAAGAGCATCCAAATTTGAACCACTTGCTTGTCTCTCACCAATTTCCACTCTTTCTACAACCAAAACAAGTATTCATACACATTAGACATTTACCCGCATGCTTCGTGCTACATTTGTCACAATTTGGTCTCTCAATTTGAGAACCCCCACCTTTCCCCCCTTTGAGGCTTAGGGTTAGACTATCTATACTTGTTAGCCTTTGGCAAATTAGAAGAAACTTGGTTGGATAATCTCTTCTTGATCTTTGGTTTTTCTTGAATTTCAAACTTACCCATTGAAGTAACTCCATCATAGGGCCTTGCCCTCTTAGTATCCCTATATTTCCTCTTAAGCCTTCTCGCCTCAACTTTTTGAGTATGCACCATCAAACGAGAAAAATCTACATTATCATGAATCATTACAACGCGATACTCTTCCACAAGATAATCGTACATACCCATCACAAAATGGATCATTTCATCTCTAGGATTAGACACGAAAGACGAATCATACTTGGATAACTTGATAAATTTCAAAGAGTATTCTTGAAGACACATACACCCTTGAGGAAGGTTGATGAACTCTTCCACTTTTGCCTCTCTTTTTTCCCTTGGGAAAAACCAATCAAGAAATGTCTTCCTAAATACTTCCCAACATATGGTACCCCCTCTCAAAGCCCCACTTTCCTTCCATTGAGTGTACCAAGTTCGAGCCACATCTTTGGGTTGGTAAGCGGCTATCTTATCCTTCTCATTTGAACTAACCCCTATAGCATACAAAATCTTATAAACCTAATAAAGAAAGTATTGAGGATATTCATTTGTATTAGACCCATAGAACATAAGAGTATTAATTCTAGTGAAGTCGCTCAAACGTGACACCATGGTACTGGCATTTTAATTCACATGGGGTGGAACTTCTCGATTAACTTGGGACTTCATAACTTGTGATTGAGTAGTTACAGATTTAGATTGGGTAGTCGTGATGTAAGTCATGTTTAAGGAAGCCTTCCTTATTTCTTCATCGGAAATGACTGGAGGATTTACCAAAACTCGGACACCTAGAGGAACTTAATCTTGAGGAGGAGCTTGATTGTCTTGGAGTGGAACTCCCGCATTTGCAATCTCTTCCACCCTTCTTGTGGCATGATACACTCAAACTTACTTCTCAAATAAGAAGTAAAGCGGTCGTGTCAAGTAAATAACCAAACTAGTAAGGTTGGGATCGTTCCCATGAGTAAAATAGTCTAGACTTAACTTCAACCTGTTATTACTATTGTTTTGTCAATGACTTCGTCGGAAAGTAAAAAACAATAACAGGGGGTTTTGTATTTCTAAATGAATGAAAATAACCGCCTAAGTTGAGAGAAACTCTTAACAGCTGTGAATGTTGGATTTTAATCAATTAATCAATGTAACTAGGGTTTACGTGTTCCCCACAGGTTCATAACTTGATAATTCTAAATATAACAATTCTTTCCTAGTATCTTGAATGCAAAGTGATAAGTTATGTATTTCTAAATCCTTTGTCTGGCATCTAGAAAATCTCACTCCGCACCTTGGTCCGGCTACGTGTGTTGCTTTCCTAACCCTTATCTTTACCTTATATTAAGCATCATATTCGATATTTGACTAAGTTATTACCTCGTACCAATCAATACTAGCCTATTAGATAGTATATACTAAGTCTATGTTGATAATTCTTTTCATATTAAGCATCATATTCGATATTTGACTAAGTTATTACCTCGTACCAATCAATACTAGCCTATTAGATAGTATATACTTAATCTATGTTGATAATTCTTTTCCTATTATCTACCTTCTTGGTCCGGCAAGTAGCATTAAGGTGAGTTCTAATGTTGTCCATCCGTTAAAAAGACTTCAAAGCGAAATAATTATTAATACATGCAAGACACAATTCTAGAATTGTTATTTTAGTTAGGTTTTATCTCATTATTTTCCTATGGTTCCCACAACCCTAGTTATGGAGTTTAGTTACTCATAGTCATAATCACAATATTCAAATATATTAAATAAGAATTCATGTATTTACTTCAATGAGAAAGATGAAAATCCGAGAGTTTGCTTGATTAATCACCAAAAATCACCAACAATCAATGATAATCAAAAGTCTATCAATACAATGTTTACTAATACGGTGTCTAACAATACGGAGTCTAACAATGATCCAGAGTCTAACAATGATCCAGAGTCTAACCTCAAAAATGAGGTTTCTCGAACTATTTATAAAAAATAAAAACCTAATTAAACAAGGACTCTATTTGTTGGAAATCTTTCAAAACGTGGCTGGGTCAACGAACCTCGCGACGGATCGTCATGGTCACGATGGACCGTCATGGACTCCGTCGTCCCATACTTATGCAATTCCTTCTGCTGCTCTTCTTCATTACCCTCGACGGCAATTATGAAGGACCGTCATAGGCACAACGGTCCCTCGAGGGTCTTCGTTCCAAAACACTTCAACTCTTGTAATATGGGTACTGGGATTACTTCTCTGAACTTCATGACGAACCTGCAGGACGGACCGTCATAGAAACGACGGACCGTCACAAGCTTCGTAACCCCACACTTGGTCTGACTTTCCCATCTTCTTTCAGCAGCTGCACTACGCTGCCACCTACGGACCATCACAAGCACGACGGACCGTCATAAGCACCGTAGGTGGTCTCTTCTGCATTTTTTTGCTCAAAATCTCCGCATTCAGCTTTGGACAGATTTCCTGCAAAATAAAAAGAAACTTATATAAAAATTAGCACAAAAAGGCTTTTGGACACACTAAACTTAAGGAAAAAGTATTAATAATACCGTGAAACCACGGTATACCCTCAACTTAAATTCGTTGTTTGTCCTCAAGCGACGCACTATGACTCAATACAAAATATTTGTACAATAGTATCCATATTTTATCCTTAGCAATCACTATAAGGCTTGAATTATGTGGGATCAGAACATGACACAGACTCACCATGCACTAACACCTATCCTCTTCAATTTCTCACCGAGATGCTAACAATTCCGGTATTGCAACTAGTGTCCTCACTTTAAAACAAAATCCTCATTTTTCACACAATGATTTCAGTTTGAGTATAAGGATTACTTTACAACACTCGCTCTCGGAACAAAGTCACACTCATTCATACCTATTGCCATAAGCTTGCCCTTATTTTCACCGCCTTAAGTTCACTATACAACCATTAGGATAACGATAGGACTTTTTTTACCTAGTAACATAGGCTCAGGGTCAGGTAGGGTATATTTAGGTATACTTTAGTGACTTTTTGCCCTCCTTGACATATCGGCTAAACCTTCCACTTTCTATCATTTTATATCGCCCAGTTTCTCATATTCTTTCACCTTGCTATTTTCTCTTCTTTCTTCATTTGTGTAAGTGACTCTCTTCTTTTCTTGCTTGTATTTCTTGTTTATTTTTCTTTTTCTTTACTTTTCTTTCGATTAATTCTTGAGTCACTTTACTTTTGTTCTTTCTCTCTCTTTGTTCTTTCAACCCCACTTTCCAGAGCATTCTTCATAATAGACACCCTCAACTCATGGCTTTGCCATGAGTCAAGGTACACAATACCCAAAGTTGGGTCAGGGCCATAACGAAGGTTGTTTACTGCATTATCCATCCTCAACTTATGCTTTTGGCATAAGCTGAGGTGCACATGTCCAAGGAGGGACCAGGACAACCACATTGTTCCCAGAAAAGATCAGTTGGGGTGAAAAAGAAAGGTCATATTTAAGCTCAGATCATTTGGATCAAAGAAGGATAACTTTCATTTGGTTTCTTTTATTTAGGCTAGAAATGAGCTATATTGAATAAGAGCCTATGACCCTTTCCTAATTGTTTATTACAACACGCTTTTAGCAGGTCTAACCAGGCAAGTTCTAGCTCAGTATCAATAGTGGACTATTCAAATTTTCCTCACACTCACTTGACATCTAATCACTATACCAGATTATCAGACACCTAATTCGAATTTTAGACTTAGGGTAATGCAATGGTGTACCTCTATGTCATGCTTAGGTCCACACAATTATCAGTTACTATGCCTAGTCATGCATCATTTTCCAGTTTATCAGGATATCATTTTAGCCATCATTCTCCAGAATTAAACTATGTACAAAAGATATAAACATGCCCGTTCAACAGAAAAAGTAATCAGTCTTTTGGGGAAAAAGAACACAGGCAAGAAAACCCCAAAAGAGGATAGTGAATTGGGCTACTCAGACTTCACCCTAACACTCAGTTTCCATTTACCCCACCCTCAACAAAAAAACATGCAATTGTCCCCAATGCATAAAAATTTAAATACTAGAGTGGTAGGTGAAGCAAACCTGTGGCGCAAAGCGCCGTCGATCAGCAAGATGGTGGGTCCGGTTCCTCGGAACCCACGTCCTCTGCAATCTTGGCACCCTCAGTGGTGTCCTCAACAACAACCGCACCATCAGTAGTGCCTCCTGCTATTTCCACAGTGCGGGAGCTTGATGCCCCAACCGCTAACTCTGATGCTTTCATCTGGTGCCCCTCCTCCTCAGCAAGTGAGGCTCTCCTCGCAGCCTCCATCTCTCGGCACTCCTTATTCATTTGTGGCTGACCCAGAGGGTTTGCCGGTCAGTGTGCGCTCCTCATCAAACTCGGAGGCAGTGACTACGCCAGACGCCACCTTTTTGGGTGTGGCTCTGGGAGCACATGCGACACAGGAAGGGGTGGAAGTGCCTGGGGGAACATACTCGGGGTCACACTCATCATCCCAGCCAATGACCATGCGGGCAGACGGGGCGACAGAATTTGATCGCCCGCGTGCGTAGATTCGGTTTTGCTTGGGTGCCATAGTAGATAGTACCTGTGTAGGATCAATATTAGTATGAGAAGTGGAAAACACGACAAGAAAAACCAAAAAACAATTAAAATTGTATGTCATTACTATGGTAACACGGACACACGACGGGCTTGGTGACGGATCGTCGTGACTATGACGGACCGTCATGGGGTCGGTTGTGTTTTACTTAAACTACGTATACATGGAGAACCCTGAAGGAGAGTCTCTGACTAGCATGAAGGTATGCGCAGGACGAACCGTCCAAGTACGACGGTCCATCGTAGGACACTTGAAAAAACTATGGAGACCCGTAGGAGGGGGGTCTCTGACCGTCATGACGGTCATGCCGGACGGACCGTCGTGGGTATGATAGTCCGTCATATGTGTCTGTTGAAGGACACTCAGAAAAAGTGAGAGACCCTTATAAACAGGGTCTCTGACAACTAGAACGGTTGTGCAGGATGGACCGTCGTGGGTATGACGGTCCGTCACATATGTCCATTGGGGGACACTTAGAAAAAAAATTAGAGACCCTTAGAAACAGGGTCTCTGACAACCAGAACGGTTGTGCAGGACAGACCATCGTGAAGACGACGATCCGTCACATGTGTCCGTTGGAACAGGGTGCTAGGGCTTTTGGAACGAACCCTACGACGGTCCGTCATCAGGGTCTCGTTCTGTATATTAGTGATAGAACTGGGGTACCCTATGCATCCTCGATGAACCCTGGTCAAACTTGTAGTGTTTTGGACCTACATTTGTCTAACCCAACTACCTAGGAAACTAGCAATCCAAAAGCACCTATGTCTAGGGTTGTAAACACGGCAATATCGAACAATTTTAACCTAGGTTAGATAGAATCTTATAAAAGAAATGAACATATGACGAAGAACTAAGCTAATACTAATTAATAAACAAAAATGCAAGATAAATGAGTAGAAATTAGAGACACATACCTTAGAATAGGAGAAAAACAAGATGGGCGAGTACCCAGTGACCAAGAAGACACTCACAACAGCAACTCCGACTAGTAGATGATAACTTCTAGGGCTTTGGATAATTTTGGGGGAACAATGATCGAGGGAGAGAATGTGGAAGTTGAAAAGAGAGGGAAATGGGAGGTAAAATGAAGGAATGGGGTGAAATGAGGGGTTGGGGCGTTTTAAACAGTCTGATTTTGAAAAGGAATCCAGCCGGGTCGGGTCGGGTACGACTCATTAATCACGCGACGATTCCATGACGACGGTCCGTCTCAGTTGTGACGACCCGTCGTTGGTTTCATCGTGTGTGCCCTAGTTTGAAAATAACAGAAAGACGTACCTGGTACGACGGAGGCATATGATGGTCCGTCGCAGTAGCAATGGTCCGTCGATGTATCCGTCAGTGACTGTTGCAGAGTAATTTTCTACAAAATTTCATGGTAATGTGCCTGCAAATTTAAAAACCATTAGTAAAAAAATGCTACCATTACTAAAAAGACTATAAGTATTGGGTTGCCTCCCAAGAAGTCCCTGATTTATGTCATGGCACGACTGGGGACACTTGATTACTCAGACTTAATCAAGATGGTATGCCTCTATCCCTTCATTCCCCGATGCTTTATGCCTAAAATAGAGTTTTATTCTATCTCTATTCATCTTAAACCGCACTCCCTCCTTGGCTTTTAACTCAACTGCTCCATGAGGAAATACTTGGGTAATCAAGTAAGGGCCAGTCCATTTGAACTTGAGCTTGCCCGGAAGGCAAGGCGACCCAGAACTGTCTACAAGCACAAAATCCCCAACCATAAGCTCTTGTTTTGCAATTTTTTGTTCATTCTCCTACTTCATCTTTTCTTTGTGGGATATGGCAGATACCGATTGGATCTCACCACTCTGCCTCATGGTCCTACAAATGTTGAAGGTCGCTTCTTCATTATTCAACCGAAATGTCATCTGTCCCTTCTCCATATCAACTAAGGCTCTACCTGTAGCAAGGAATGACCTGCCAAGAATAATAGGCACTTAAAAAGCGACCTCACAATCAAGAATAACAAAATTAGCCTGAAAGATGAATGACTCCACTTCTATTAGCACATCATGAAGTATCCCTATAGGCCGTTTCACTGTCCGATAAGCCATTAGTAGCCGCATCGCAGTGGGTTTTGGATCCCCCAAACCCAACTTCTTGTAAATCGAGAGGGGCATGAGATTTATGCTTGCCCCCAGATCACATAATGCTTTCGCAAAAGTGAACGCACCAGGATCATCTTTCTTTTGTACGAGGGATCTTGTAGCAATAGAACTAGAATGCTGCAGTCTATCATCATCCTCGAAAGTGACCGATCTTTTCTTGGTGACCAGATCTTTCATAAATTTGGCATAACCGGGCATTTGTTCTAGAGCTTCTACCAAAGGGACATTTATAGAAAGCTTCTTCAACATTGTTATGAAACGCCGATATTTACCACCCTCTGTCTTTTTCACTAATCTCTGAAGGAAGGGTGGTGGTGGCCTAGGCATGGGAATTACACTGATAGGTGCTTCTGCATCTTTTCCATTACTTTCCTCTTCTTCACCACTACCTTTTACCGCATTATCATTATCCTTTCTCACATTTTCTTCACTAGACGGCATATGTGGGTCAATGGTTTGCTTACCACCCGAGTAGTGATTGCCATACAGTGTGCATCATTCTTTTCCGTGTGTTCACTATCGCAGATAATTGGGACATTTGCAATTCGATCTGTTTAATCGAAATTGCATGTGTATCAAATTTTTGCCCAATACTAGCTAAATCACCAGTTAACTCTTTAATGTGCTCATCATTAGCATCGAAACTCCTCATCATTTTGTGCAACATATCCTCAACTCGCCCCATACTATCTCCACTATCCCTAGGAGTAACTTCACGATTTTGAGGAGGGACATAGGGCCCATTCCTGTCGTTTCTATTAGCATAGTTACCCCTGTTAAAGTTGTTATCGCGGTTGTAATTTTCATCTCAGGCATAATGACCCTCACGATTGTAGTTACCATTGTTCCGACCTTGGTTCCCTTGACCTTGGCGCCAACTATCCTGATTTGAGCATTGGGCGCTTGGTCGGAAACTCCCCATCTGCTCATTTACTGCATAAGTGTCCTCCGCATAATAGCATTCATTAGTAGGAGGTGGTGGTTTAGCCAAGTAGTTGACTGCATTTATCTTTTCTGCACCCCCAGTGACATGTTTTAGTACCAACCCAAGCTCAGTTCTCATCTGAGCCATTTCTTCACGAATCTCATATGTGGCTGGGTTGTTAGTGGACTACAGTGCGAAGGTGTTTCTCCCTGTATAAGACTTCCTAGTACTCCAAACTTTGTTATTCTGGGAGATTTTCTCTAATTTTTCAGCAATCTCAGCATAAGGACACTCCCCATAAGATCCACCTGCTATAGTGTCCAACACTGCTTTATTAGTATCATCATGTCCCCGATAGAAGTATTACTTCAGTGACTCATCATCTATACAGTGATTTGGGATACTTCTCAAGAACGAGGTGAATCTATCACAAGAACTACTAACTGACTCTCCCGGTAGTGCCACAAAGTTATTCACTCTGTCTTTGTGGTTTAGTTTCTTGGAGACCGGATAGAAGCGTGCTAAGAAAACATCCCTTAGTTGGTTCCAAGTGAAGATTGAGTTGTATGGGAGCTCAGTGAACCATATATCAGCTTCTCCCGTCAGTGAGAGAGGAAACACTCTGAGCTCTATTACATCTAAATCCAAATCAGGCCTCCCTACACAACTTTTACACTTGGCCCTTACCTTAGCTATATGGGCTTGTGGATCCTCTGAAGGTAGCCCTGAAAACAAACTATGACAGTTAGCATTTGCATCAGGCTACTAGTTACCACAAAGGTGTGGCCTGTGGGTAGAGGAGGCAAGACAAGTGGCCCATCCGAGTCTGCTATGTTATCATAACCTCTGTAGTATGCTTGGGGCTGTGGAACGGGATTTTGTCCCCTCTGTTGGTGTTCACCCAGAGCATCGGGTAACATCTGACCATGAACATCAACCGGAGCTGGGATATTCTGGTTCGGATCATCATCATTTATTCCCAAGTATCGATTCATATTGCATAGTGTACGCTGTAACTCGTGATCGTAGGGAAACAAGGGTTCTCTCCTCTCCGTGTATTTGGCATACAAGGAGGATAGTTCTAAAAAAAATCAAAAACAATAAAACAAAGTAAAATCAAGAAAATATCAACTAAACTATAGTAATAAGTTCAAGTTAATCTAAAAGCTATAATCCCTTGTAGCGCCGCCAAAATTTGATACGCTCAAACATACTTCTCAAATAAGAAGGAAAGCAGTCGTGTCAAGTAAATAACCTAACTAGTGAGGTTGGGATCGTTCCCACGAGAAAAATAGTCTAGACTTAACTTCAACCTGTTATTACTGTTGTTTGGTCAATGACTTACTTGGAAAGTAAAAAACAATAAAAGGGGGGTTTCTATTTCTAAATGAATGAAAATAACTACCTAAGTTGAAAGAAAAACTTAACAGCTAGGTCGACGGATCTCGCAATGGATCTTCAAGGTCACGACGAACCGTCATGGACTCCGTCATCCCATACTTATGCAATTTCTTCTGCTGCTCTTCTTCATTACCCTTGACGGCAAGTATGACGGACCGTCATAGGCACAACGGTCCGTCGAGGGTCTTTGTTTCAAAACACTTCAACTCTTGGAATATGGGTACTGGGATTGCTTCTCTGAACTTAATGACGAACCTGCAGGACGGACCGTCATTGACACGACGGACCGTCACAAGCTTCGTAACCCCACACTTGGTCAGACTTCCCCATCTTCCTTTAGCAGCAACACTATACTGCCACCTACGGACTATCACAAGCACGACGGAACGTCATAAGCTCCGTAGGTGGTCTCTTCTGCATTTTTTCGCTCAAAATCTCCGCATTCAGCTTTGGACAGATTTCTTGCAGAATAAAAAGAAACTTATATAAAAATTAGCACAAAAAGGCTTTTGGACACACTAAATTTAAGGAAAAAGTATTAATAATACCGTGAAACCACGGTATATCATGGCATCCCCTCAAGTAGTCATAGACTATATTCACAACAAAATGATTATAAAAGAAGGAAAAATAAAGCTAAGACTCTTGAGAAACGACTTATAAATATAAAAAATGTCATAATTTCCTAAGCATCACATAGCTTCTCATTCATAATTATGGCGCGCTTCACAATTATGAACAAGACTCTACATGGATGTGGTTTTATGAGACATCGTTCCTAATGTTATTAAACCTCGTGATCTAATACCAATTTTTTCATGACTAGGGAGCACACTCTAGTCTTACTCGTCGTCTTCGTCGTCTTAGAGGCCTTAGACAAGCCCTTAGCATGCTTAATTGAATTTCATAGGTAAAAAATACGGTAAAATTAACTCTTTATATTTGAAATTCAAGTTTACTTCTCATATATTGAAAATAGCCTACATTATTTCAAACACAATAATCTAACATAAGAGTACAAGCTTCCGGACATAAACCTTACACTATTACAATATCTCATAAGTAGAACAACATAGTCTAAAAAGATAAGAAATAGAACATTGTCTTTAGATAAACAAAATAACAAGAACTAGATTGATAGGTTTCATCCTCGGACTTGAGGAATCACAAATTTGGGAATCTATCCAAGCTTCTAGAAAATTAGCCTTGAAACCCTTCAGTGACACAAAGCTACATTATTGTAGAAATCGAAGAGAAATATGGGTTAGTACAAACCAAATAAAATAAGTATGGATATATGCAAGTAAAATATTAGGAAACATGCACAAAAAGACATTTTAGTGCCAGCTTGCTAAATTCACTTTGAAAGCCTTTATGAACATTCCAAGCATATACAAGTCCGTAACACAATAACAATGAACCATATAATTATTCATGTTCAAGAGTACATAATAATAAAGCAATAATAAATAATTCATGTTTAGAATACATTTCATAAACATATCGCAATACCTTAGTCACAATCCCAATTCAAGTCAATTAGTGCAATGTCTATGTAAAGCCTCATAACCCCACATAAACTAAGAAAACAAACAAAGAGACCATAAGCAATGTCTTACCCTCATATAGCTGCATATCAAGTGTAGTCAACATCATATATAAAAATTATACCAATATCATCTATACCAAGTTATACTATCATCATGTAAGAAAACCAACATATATCATGTACATATAAAGAACCTTTCCTAGAACTCCCCTCAAGGTCCACTTGTGCAATGCATAGGTAAAGTCCCATTCCCTTAAAAACACTAAGTGATACCTCATAAGTAGTCCTAGTTAGTGTTCATATTATCATTATCATTCATAATAGCATCTAGGTGGTTCCACTAGCTAGGTTTCTTATGGAAGCACATAGTTGAGGAACTAGGAGGTTTATACCATAAACCTTTTTATTCTATTTGAATTGTTGTCTCCACCTTATGAGAGAACATAGTCAAGTTCACTCAGAAGGGAATTTAGTTTATCAAAGCCTCAAAAAGGAAGAACGCAAAGCCACGTGCCCCTCTCATAGCTTCTCAATTGGAAGAACATGGTGATTCAGAAGCTAGTGACTATGAGGTACAAATTAATGTTGCATTTTCTAATCACTCATCTCTACCCAGTAGATCATTAGCCAAAAGAAGACTGCTCCGGGACACTCCTGCTTATTCTGATAAACCAGGTAGTAGTTTTGGCAACACAGAGAATGCAGGTAGTAAATCGGAAACTGATGCTGGTAGCCAATATGACGATAACTCCAACGGTAGTGAAAATGCTACATCGTGGGCATTTTTTTAGCCGAAAGAAGTTCTCAAGAGGATTCCCATACATAACCTCCATCAACTAATGTAGAACCTTAAATTGCAGTTAAAGCGGCTGACTTTCAGAGACAACTTGATGAGATACTCATGGATGATGAGACCATGGTAAAACTCAATGAGATACTCACGGATGATGAGACCATGGTACGATATGTGCATTTTCAAGAACCACATCCAGAACAAAGGGAACAACTCATAGCTTATTACTGTATCATGTGGACTGTGGACCGGGAAAAGGAATTTTTTCATAGAGGAATTGTGACCAAGACTGATAGTTTCAAGGATCGTGATATCTGGCCTAAGGCCAAAGCATTTACAATACATTTCAATTTCACAAGTTTGATTGGATGGACAATGCACAATGCACTAGGTAAATGTTCCAGGCACCTGACTATACAAACCTACACATTGTATGCGACCACACTGATTAATCTTTCTTCTGACACTGAAACTACAAACGAGCATAGAAGGACCTTTCTATCACATTGGGTTCCCATAACTACATTATCGTTCGGGGCAAGTCCATAGACATTTCGGAAACCTCTATCAAGCAAATGTTGCACGGGCGGCTCTGCCTCACCATTAATTGGCCTTTTTGAGGGCAAGAACCATGAGGTTACCAATGCGGCTACTATAGAATAACATGTTTCTCATGAAAAGGTGTTACTCTAGATTATCAAACAAATTACTAAAGATGGGGAAAATTCAAGTTGGGGCACAACAAATGACTCTGACCATTGCTAAGGCTACTT